ACAAATATATGGACTTTGCAGCAACTTGGATGGATTTGGAGTCGATCATATTCAGTGATCTATCACAGAAACAAAGAGCAGACGTACCATATGTTCTCACTCATAAGCGGACCTTGAACAATTATAATACTATTAAAAAGTATTTGGCAGTAATGGGAAACTGTCAGGAGAGAGGGGGTGAGATTGGCAGTTGAGGGAAACTGCTAGGGGAGAGAGGGGCATACCTTGTCAACAAGGGAATCTGCATAATCAATGTTTGTATACCTAACCCTGAATTGTACCCCACATCTTTATAATATAAATAAATAAATAATAAAAGATAGGCAAAGTTGGGTGCGATGGCACATGCCTACAATCCCAGCTACTTGGGTAGTTGAGACAGGAGTATAACTTGAGCCCAGGAGTTCAAGATCAGCCCTGGACAACATAATGAGACCCCATGTCTAAACACAAAACATAACAAAGATAGGCAAATGTCCAACAAGCACATGAAAGGATGTTCAACAGTAATCAGTTATGAGAGAAATGCAAATCAAAAAAACAATGAGATACCATGTCAAAAACTCTAGGATGCCTAGAATAAAAAAGACAGATAATAACATGTATTGGCCAGGGAGTGGAGAAATTAGAACCCTCATATACTGTTGGTGAGAATATTAAATGACACAGCTGCTTTAGAAGCAGTCTGGCTGTTTTCTCTAAAGACTAAAGATGTTGTTACCTTATGACCGAACAGTTCCACAGCTAGGTGTATACCCATGAGAAGTGAAGCTATGTCCATACAAAAAACATCTGCATGTATGTTCATAGCAACATTATTGATTAATAGCCCCAAAAGAAATAGTCCAAATGTCCATCAACTGACAGATGGATAAATAAAATGGAGTATGTTAATACAATAGAATAATAGTCAGCAATAAAAAAGAATGAAGTACTGACACATACCACAACATGGATGAACCTTAAAAACATCATGCTAAGGGAAAGAAGTCAGACATAAAAGCTCATACACTGTATGATCCCATTTATATAAAATGTCTAGAATAGGGAAATCCATAGAAAAAGCAAGTAGGCTGCCAGTTACCTAAGGCTGAGGGAAACAGGAGGAAATAAGAAATGATGGCCAATGTACGTGAGTTTATTTTGTGGGTGATGAAAATAGAAAATTAATTCTGGAGATGGTTGCAATTGATGAATTGACTCTGTAAATATGCTGAAAGCCACTGAATTGTATACATATGCTATATGCTATAGTATGTGAATTACATCTTGATAAAGATGTATGCTATAGTATGTGAATTACATCTTGATAAAGCTACAAATTAAAAGTGGCACTGTTTTTCCAATTTTTTACCCTAGTTTAGTACCTTTAATAACTCTGTTCTTGTCTGTTTGTCTTAGTCCGTTCTGGCTGCTAAAACAAAATACCATAACCTAGGTGGCTTATAAACAATAGAAATGTGTTTCTCACAGTTCTAGAAGCTAGGAAGTACCAGCTGATTTGGTGCCTGATTGAGGAACTACTTCCTAGGCAACCACCTTTTCATAAATTCGCCTGGTTGAAAAGCAAAGGAGCTCTCTGAGGACTCTTTCATAAGGGCACTAATCCCATTCCGAGGGCTCTGCCTTCATGAATCACCTCCCAAAGGCCCCACTTCCTAATAGGTCCCTCTAGGAGTTAGGACTTCAACATATGAATTTTGGGAGGACACATTCAGGTTACCCACTGCTGTGACTACCCTATTTTCCTTTAAGCCATCTTAGTCAAGCTTGGTTTTCTGATTTCAACTATTGTCTTCTTGCTGAATTTGCTCTCTCGTCCCTATAGACTATCAGCACACTTATACAAAAGGATGAGATTTTACTCCATATCCTTCGGCAGCATCTCTGGATCACCCTGGAATGCCACACAGCCCCTGTGCCCTGCAGGCCAGACTCGGTTGGAAGGATGGGATTAGACACAAATCATCTTTAGGCTAAGTCCGATGCGCATCACCATACTCATCCACTTCTCCACGAGTCCACTTTCTTATCTAATTCCTCTCATCCTGATTTCCATTTTTCATCTCTTTAAAATAATAAGCATGTAATATTTGGAATAATAAATATATGCTAATAAGAAATCATTTTAAAGAAAGTGCCAAGAACTACCTTTTGAAATCTTAACACCAATGCCCAAATTTATATTTTATTTGCAATATCTTTGTATCTTAAAGCCCAATGGCTAGTGGCTGCCATTTGAAACAAGATTGCTAATGTTGTAAGTGACACTAAGAATGGGGAAGTGAGCCTGGTTGTGGAAGAAAAGAAGAAAAGGAGTCTGTGCTCCACCAGAACTGTTGAGATAAGTGTGGCAAACCCGGAAACCACCAAGTCAGTCACTCTAGCATGGTGAGATGTGCTCACAGATGATACTCTTTCATGTTGAAAAAATAACTGCTCTTCCTGAACACTGAGGTTCTGGTCCTAGTAATAAGGGCTACATCAAAGCTTTCTAGAAGACTAATCTTGTCTTAAAGACCAATACAAATCTGTAGCTCACCCTCTTGACAGCAAGACTTCTTATGGATAGACCAGAAGCGAAACTTTAGTTTTTCAAGTTCCTAAGACTCAAAATTCAAATATTTAAAGATACTGAATTAAGTACCATTCATATCACATTTCAATTAAATCATAAAACAAATGAAAACACATTTGTTGTTGAATTAATGTAACTTTTTAAAAAAAAAAAAAAGCAAAACAGCATACAGAAGCACATATTACAAGCACAGGCAGGACAGAAAAAAAAAGAGATTCATAAATAGCTCGTTGATGCAGCCAAATAATTTCTTGAGGACAATGAGGTATTAGAACTTGAGTTACACCAGATTTTTCCATCGCCTGTCTTTCGATTTGTACACACAATTGTAGAATCCAAAGAAAACATCTGGCCAACCTGGAATTAAAGTTTGAGTCCAGCATGGTTGAGGTAGGGCTATTTCCCATTTGTCCTATAAACTTTTCTCATGATTTAATAAAAAAAAAAAAAAGGCCAAAGAAAATCTTATTTTTCTTCTTCTTAAACCTAAGATTATGAGTCTAATTTAGATAATGAAATATAATAGGGAAAATTAAGTAAGGGAAATGGGTGGATGATGTGTTTGAAATAAAAAGAAAGACAGGACAATACTAACCACCCCATACACAATCAAGGCCCTCTGATATTGGCTCTCGGTGAATCACCAGTCGTGCTATCCATTTATCCATTTCCCATAACAACTCTCAATCAAAAATAATGTGTCTTTAAAATGTT